TTTTTTTTTTTTTTTAATCTCAGGTTTGAGAAGCACTGGTGGAGGATATTAATTGGTTCTGTTTAATATTGTGAGCAGTTACCTGCCCACATTTTTATTTTTGCTGGTCAGTCTTAAAACAGTTTTCTTTCCTTTTTGGAGGAAAATAATATTATGACATTTAAATCCTTCTGTAGTTATAAAGACTTTGGTCTGAATAAGACAGTAAAGAAACCCCGCTGCTCTTGCAAAAATGATCTGAGTCCCATCCAGAGGTTTGAAAAGTCAACTGTGTAAAGTGATGAGATTTTTTTTTTTTATTGTGTTTAATCAGATTATAAAGACTTTGGAACACTTACCCATTCCTACTAAAAATATGTTGGAGGAAAGCAAAGTACTTCCAATTATTCAACGCTGGTCTCAGACCAAAACTGCCATTCCTCCATTGAGTGAAGGAGATGGGTATTCAAGTGAGAATACGTCACGTGCTCACACACCACTCAACACTCCTGATCCTTCCACCAAGCTAAGCACAGAAGCTGACACAGATACCCCCAAGAAGCTCATGTTTCGCAGACTTAAAATTATAAGTGAAAATAGCATGGACAGTGCAATATCTGATGCTACCAGTGAGCTGGAAGGCAAGGATGGCAAAGAGGACCTTGACCAGTTAGAACACGTCCCTGTAGAAGAAGAGGAAGAGTTACAGTCACAACAGCTACTCACACAACAGCTGCCAGAGTCTAAAGTTGAGAGTGAAATCGCCATGGAAGCCAGTAAGCTACCCATATCTGAACCAGAGGCTGATGTTGAAATAGAGCCTAAAGAAGGCAATGGCACGAAACTGGAAGAAACTATTGCTGAGGAAACACCATCCCAAGATGAAGAGGAGGGTGTATCTGATGTGGAGAGTGAGAGGAGCCAGGAACAGCCAGATAAAACAGTAGATATAAGTGATTTGGCCACCAAGCTCCTGGATAGTTGGAAAGACCTAAAGGTAAGGAAACATTTCTGTTTATTTTAACCTGAATTACTCAGGTCTAGAGTTCCACAAATCTTAAGTTGAATTACCTACTTTTCTAGCTATACATATATTTGAAAAATGGAGTACCATCTCTCTTACTGATAACTAATTACAAATGTCTCAAATCTTTTAAACCTTGGCAAGAGATATACCAGCCAAACTAATATACAGATATCCCCTTTTCTTCATTTAGAAAAGCGTATCGCAGCAGTGACTTCAGTTTTTTTTTTTTTTTTTTTTGTAGTTTTTTAAACATTTACTCATTTTTTGAGAGACAGAGACAGTACAAGTGGGGGAAGGACAGAGAGAGAGGGAGACACAGAATCCGAAGCAGGCTCCAGGCTCCCGGCTGATCACATAGAGCCCAATGTGGGGCTCAAACTCACCAACAGTGTGATCATGACCTGAGCCAAAGTTGGACGCTTAACCAACTGAGCCACCCAGGTGCTCAGTGACTTCAGTTATTTAAGTGCACCTTACATTAAAACCAAAACCAGAAATACGTTGAGTTACAAACATATGATTCTACATTTGAAAATTCTTTGTAAGAGTGTATGTAAGAAAAAAAGTCAGTGTTTAAAGTAATTGGAAATTAATATATTGGATTAACTAGAAATTAATTTTTAAAAATTAACTATAACTGGAAAACCAAGGTAATTCAGCAACTTCTTATCAAAAATGATTGAACACAAATATCTATTCCAGTAAAACAACTTTATATGGAGCTAGTTGGTGTTCAGTTCCATTATTGTTTCTGAAATAGGCCTGCCTTTAAATGCCTACTTCTTTGGTCAAAAGATGTTATCTAGAGGAAAATAGAGAGGTGTGGAACCCTTACGCCTAATACATACGTAATCTGTCATTAAAAATGTAGCAAGTTGTACAGGGTTTGCTTTGCAGAAAACTCAGTCTGGGTCTTGGATAAACACAGAAGTGAATAACAGGATGAGCCTAGGAGAGATGTGATACATTTTGATTGTAAGTGATCTGTATCTGGGATTCAGGTCTTGAGGACCCTGTGGGAACAGGTTACTTCCTAGCTTCTATTTTTCTGTTCCTTTCTTCTGTCAGAAGTGAAGCAACCAGATAAACCAGCAGTACAGGTTTATTTGCAGTAAGATGGACAACTGAATCCTACCTGTCCCCAATTATGATTAGAAAACTCACCCATTAGATCCTGCGATTTGACCCATATGGAACTGACCTCACACTGAACAAAAGGAGTAGTTGATTGGTTGTGCACTATTCTTACTTCCGGCATTTGTAATTTGCTGTGTTGAGACTCTTTTTAAGTATGGTGTGGTTTCAGTTCTCGTTGACCTGTTTGCTACTCTTGCACCACTTAGAGTTTATTGTTACTCAACCTTATTAATAAACCTTGTGAAATCCTTCCTTTTTATAAACCTAAAAGGAAGAATTCATAGTAAATCTGCTTATGATACAACACGTGAACTGCAGGAACCAGAATTGCAGTTAAAAGAAAGAAATGCTGGGATGGTCACGTGGGTGGACCTTCATTTAAGGCCTGCTTTGTGAGGGCACAGGAGTGTGAAAGAAGTCCCTCTTGAGTTTGGAGGCTAGGACAGCCTGTGGCATGACTGGCTTCATAAGGAAGGTGGAAATGGAGACCTGTACTCGAATGGGCATAGAAAAGGCCTTACAGACATAGTTTTACAGAGTGAGAATGGGGTGGCAGACCCAGTAGTTCACTTTTGCCTGATAAATCTCTGGTTGACATAAGTTTAAAAAAATGAGATTTAAGCATCATTTCTTTAAAAACCTGTCTCTTCTTAAAACCTGGAAAAAGTAATACTTTCGTTTCTCTCTATGGTAGTTTTTTATTGTAATGGTAGTGGTATGAATTACTCTCTGGGATATCCTTAACTCAGTTAGCTGTAACTGGTCATTTAAAGTCACACTCTAGACGTTTTTGAGTCCTACCAAATTATTTCTTCCCCTGCTTGTCCTCGTTCCTCCTGTCTGAAAGATCAAAGCAGTTGCATAGGACTATGTAGCTTGATGATCCTTTTGACTTGAGGCTCAAAATTTTATTCATACTTAAAATATATCCTTCTTAACTTTCATACTTTGGATGTATCCTGATTCTTAGCATCAAGGAAGCCATTGAATGAGATTTTCCTTCTTTAAACTTTAGTTTGCTCTGGAATCATTACTCACCTAGAATTGCATGACTGAGAAATGTTGTCACTTGACTGAACTGTGATGTTTTGTTACACATTGGTGCTGGGGCTCTTAATTCATCTATCATTCTGTTTAACATTTACCATGATTCTAATTCCAAAACTCTGATTATGGTTGTCAAGAAAAAAAGAAAGAAAGAAAGAGAGAAAGAGAAAGAAAGAACTTTAGCCAACATTTAATCAGAACATTGAAATCAGAAACCCATAATTTGAACATGTTTTAGATAAACACATGGACTTGATGTGATTACACTATACCCATACTATCCCGGCATTGAAAGAGTTAACTACTTCTGTCTGACTTCCACCTATGTATTCAAGTAGACGTTGGCAGAAAAGACAATGTCTTATTCAACCAACCTTTATTAAGCACCTATTGCCAAGCACTGGGTTAGTTGCTGATGTTAATTCCAAGATCGTACTAAAAAAAGCATTACTCTAAGATTGTGGTTATGTTAGCCACTCCAAGCTTCCCTGACCTTCTGGGGCCACTGTAACATTGTTGGACATGTGTTCCACTTGGCCTTTCTACACATTGGATGGAGTGAAGAACTGAAAGAGGTTGCTTCAGATCCTTAATCTTGATTTTTGCTGTGAAGGCAGACCATAGGGATCATCAGTAAATGAAAGAGGGTGGGAGGGAAGGGAATGAAGCTTCATGAATTACTCTTTGTCCTCCCAGATCTGATGATGATCCCCCTTGTAACTTGAACCATTTCCATCTAGCTTCTCAGGGCAGCAAGGAGCTTGTTAACATCACCAGCTGACCATGTGTCTCCTTTTCTCAACTCCATTTTCAACTTCGTGCTGAAGAAAAACGAGAACCTAGCGTGCATTCTGTGAAGAAACAGGAAGATGGTTGGGAAGTTGGATGATGCATGAAAAATATAATAGGTGAAAAGAGGACAGAGGTGGTTAACTCACTGGCGCCGGCGTTATTTTGGTGCGTCCATTGCCGACAATGGATGTCGTTCCGGGAAAATCCCGACTCCTGGCGAGAAAGGATTAAGTGAGCTACTTTTTCTATACCTCTATACACAGGACTGCTGCCATGGCTCCACAGGGCTTGCACATTTTGACTCCTAAAGTAGACCTAAACAAGAAACATCACCTAACACATTGCTACTACACATGAGCATGTATTTTCACGTGCAAATTTATCGGGCTACATTTTCAGCAGGGACATGTGCATATATTTCTATTTGCAAAAGGAATTACTGTACATCACCCCTCATGCTGAAAATATACCCTAGACTTCACAGGGCAAAACAGTTGGTTATAAGTGGTGATTGATTATAACTTGAGTGGAAAATCCTCATTCATTTGGATCATGAGAAGAAGAGGTAAGGTTCCTGTGAATTTGGCAGTTTTTTTTTTTTTTTTTTTTTCAGTTAAACACCCAGTAGATTATGATGGCTAGTGATTCCAGAGCCTCTCTTGTAAACACTTAGACTGCAGGATATGCATCTCTCCTTATAATGAAATCTGGGTAGTTACAGTTACACCTGGTTTAGATGATTTAGGGGCACCATTCTGTACATGTGATAAGTTGGACTATTCTTAATAATACTCTTCTTCATGTTTATGTCAAGACTATCTTTAATTCAACAAACATATTATTTGCCTAGAAAGTCAAGCATTAAACTCTTTACAGAAAGTTTAAATAAAACATAGGGTTACTCAGCTGAAAACGTTTAAGTCACTACTTGGAAATTCAGTCTGTAACTGATATCCTATGTGGAATCTGCTGTGCAACATTTCAAAATGAAATTATGTACCCTGGGTTTCTGTAATAAATTTCAAAATCGTTTGTAGAGATTATTCTGTATCCATAAGGATCAATATTACCCTTTCCTTTAAAATACATTTTTTTTTTTAACATTTATTTATTTTTGAGAGAGAGAGACAAAGCACAAGCAGGAAGGGGCAGACAGAGAGGGAGACACAGAAACTGAAGCAGGCTTCAGGCTCTGAGCTGTAAGCACAGAATCTGACACGGGGCTCCAACCCGTGAACCATGAGATCATGACCTGAGCCCAAGTTGGATGCTTAACTAACTGAGCCACCCAGACGCCCCTCCTTTAAAATTTAGAATTGCCCCTGAAGAAGCAATCTTAGATACTGCTACATTGAAAGTTTTTTTTTTTTTTTTAAGTTTATTTACTTATTTTGAAAGAGAGAGAGAGAGAGAGTACGTGCGGGGCAGAGCAGAGGGGAAGAGAGAGAGAATCCCAGACCGCAGGCTCCACACTGCTAGTGGGGAGCACCGTGTGGGGCTTGAACCCACAAACCGTGAGATCATGACCTGATCCAAAATCAAGAGTTGGCCTCTCAACCAACTGGGTCGCTTAGTCGCCCCAAAATTTGTTTTACAAGTATCAGACTTAGTAAAAGGCAAAAATGGTCTAAAGCTTATTAGTAGTCCATTTTGTTATTACTGGATAGGTCCTTTAATCTAAATCATGGCTTGGCTATGTCTGTCCCACTGCTTGTTTTTGTAAAGATTTTTGGGAACACAGCCATGCTCATTCATTTACATACTGTCTATGGCTGCTTTTGCACTGTGGTAAAGTTCAGAGTCTGGCTGCTTGAAACATTCTGATTTTGAGTGAAGTCATTTTGATACTTTATTCTTATGGATGAACTCTTAATTCTGTTTCCCTAAAGACATGATGATTATGGTTCTATAGCTCATGAAGTTAGTTTGAAAAAAAAAAAAAAAAGTCTTGACTCTGTTTGGGAAAAGTTACTTTGACTAATTTGGATGTAAGG